CCTGAAAAAAAAGCGGGTCTTGTTCAAGAACCCGTGTATGTGTTGGACTATGATGCAAACCCCGTCTCTTCTTGTAAAACCCCGGGTTTAGGGTCGATTCTAAGTTGTAGTCGGTTGGATTGACATATCTACAACGATTATCTTGTTGCGCAAGGCAACCGTCCTCGCAGTATGATCATGAAACCCCAACAGCAGTCGTTACAACGCACCCTATAAGCACAGAATCAATAGTTTACTTCCAGCTCTATATAATTAACCCCGAATCCAAACCCTACTTCCAGCTCTATATAATTAACCCCGAATCCAAACCCAAACCGCCAAACCGGCGCAGGCCACATCCGGAAGCCCCGCCGTGCCTCTTGAAGCTGGCCCCAGCAAGGGGTGCGTGTCGTGGTTCTAGATAGTTCTATATAGCGGTTATATTAAGTCTTAGTGTAGGGGGGCTTATATGTTGATAAGGAAGCTCATATTTACAGTCCGGTTTGGGATAGGCAATCCATCTCGATAGATAAGACTTCATATAGGAACGTTTCCCTACAACCCGTACTATCCGACCTTAACTTAATTCAACACATTCCGAAGACCCGTTATGTGGTCGCATGATGGACATCGCCCACGCTTGCGTTTTCGGCCGCGAGCCCAGCGAGCGTCTGTGATCAAGTGTCTCCTCGCGCAGGGCTTTGAAGTGCAGTGATATCAGTTCCGCATGCGTCTAGCTTTTGGCTTTTGAGGTTGGGGTCCTGAGTAGATCGAGGGTAGAAGTTGTGCTAGCCATGGCTCCTAAGCCTAAGCGCAACAGGGCCCCCAAGGGCGAGGGCTATGAGCGAGGCATGGATATCACAGACATGCATCAGCAGTGGGATGGCTCGCCAGACATTCGGGCAAGATTGAGGAACGGGGAGTACATAATGCATCCACAAAGTGGTTTGAATTGTGACAATGCCGTCTGTGTCCTGAACAAGTCACTATTGATGCCAATTTTGATTGGAATGTTCGGTTGTGACCGCAAGCTGCCCTGTGTCAACGCCATCCGGACCGAAATCACGGCCTGTTATGAGCTTAACAAGAGAGTCGGCACGGACGTCAATCAGAGCGTCGCTGGAGACGCGATCCACATTAGGAAGTTACTTTCCTTTGTGAAAGCCAAATGCAGGCGCGAGGAAGTTAGCACAGAAATTTGACCTGTATTGAGAAAGCTTTTGTTGGTCCTATAACCGATACAAAGCTGACCCGAATCTCTTCCTATATACCAGCCACGATCCCAGGATGATGATTTCCAAGAGCTGTGCTTGGCTTTGAACCCGATGCTTCAGGCCGGCAGGGAAGGTTTCTTCTGATTCCTTAGTGTTCGTTAAACACAAACACACTCTATCTCACTGCGTACATATTCGCTCCCTAGAAACTTCATGGGTTTCCAATGCAGGCTGTGGTTGACGATATCCGTGCCAAGAGGAAGGACAAGCAAGCATTCATGGAGGCCAGTCAATTCTTCAACATATGGGCTTATATATCTAGAGTGTTGAACCACCAAATCAACAAACTACTATTCCCAACACAGATCTGGTCTCAGGAGTGCCAGGCTGAAGATGACGAAGATGATTACGAGTCGAGTATGGATGAAGCCGACGAGGAGCCTCCAACAGAGACTCCCACGAATCCGGCAAAGGTTTC